CACACACCTGTCCCCACACCCTCCGGTGCCCACACCCACCTGCCGGCCCACCTGTGCCCACACCCACAGGCCAGGAACGGCTTCCCAAATACCCTCTGCCGCCAGACTCCACAGCTGTGACCCCCCTTCCTTTCGAGAAGCAGAGGCATCACAGTGAGGCTCTCGTGTGCTGACACACGGGCTCCCCGTCCCTCCTGCGTCGATCAGGACCCCCTCTCTCTGAGGGAGGCAGTGACAAACCTCCACTAGGCACCTGGGGAGTCTGAGGCCCATGGCTCTAGGACGGGAGGCAGGACAGGAGCTGCCGTCTCGAATGTCCACAGAGGCCACCGCCCAGCCCCGGGCCCTCCTGGGAACACAGGCCCGCAAGACCCAAGAGCAGGGGTGTGGCTACAGTGCGCTGGCTCCGTGACAGGGCCCTGAAGAGGTTCCTGAGCCCACACACACCACCGCGTGGTCCCGGGGCTGCCCTCAGACCCCTCCCCCGAATGCCAGGCCCTGGCCGACAGCCCCCCGCCCTCCGCTCGGAGCCCCCACCAGCCCCAGCCCTCTTTCCTTGGCCCCCGCCCGCATCAGCCTACAGAGCTCACCGCTCCTCTTCTATTATTCTGTTTTACAGCCTGGGTGGGGGGCAGAGTGGGGAACTCTCACGAGTGTGGGAAGTGCCACCAAGTGCAGAGACAGGGTCTCTACCCCCACCGCCGGAGGACGATCCCTTCAGACGCGGCCTCTTCTGAGGCACAGATTTAGTGCTGGGGGAGGACACTCACGGGAGAGGCAGCCCTGGTCACCGGGCTGCTGGCTCCACCCGGGGCAGCACCTGAACACGGTCTGCGCCTCCATGGCATACACCTGCCTGTGGCCCGTGTAGTAGATGGTTCTAGAAAAGAAGGGAGAAGGGAAACGTTTACCGTGGAGACACAGCTCTGGCGGCACGTCCCGCTACTTTTGGCTCTCACCCACCCACCCCTCCCCACGCTGGCTCCCCCGACTGTTCCCTTCAGGTCCAGGCTCCGAGGTGGGGGGAAGGTCTGTGAGCCACACCCGCACGAAGAGGGGCAGCAGGGCACACGTGGCTGCCCTGGAGCCAGGACCAATGGCCCCGGCCAGCTCCGCCCGTGGGGCTGCTGCCCCCTTCCCTCTCCACCCCTGCTGGGGCCCAGCTCCAAGCCAGCGTCAGGACGGGCATAGCATCCCACGTCTGGCCCCAGGCCAGGTTTGAGGCCTTCGGGGTCAGACTCGAAATGTCCAGCCGAGGACCAAGAGTGGCTTCCAAGGTGCCCAGGGCTAGGCAGGCTGTGCCCTGGATAGTGCCAGTTCAGACCCCAGGCTCCCAGTACACCAGACAGCAGGACCACCCCGAGCGCTCGCGGTTTGCGAGGGCCTTCTTCCCCACCTGCGGGGTGGAGGGTTGAGCCGAGGACCCAGGGTGACGGGGAGGACAGCTGTGGACAACAGCAGAGGGGCCAGACTGTGGTCACACACAGCACTGCCGTCAGAGGGGAGCAGGCGGGAGGGACCCTCAGAGGAGATGGGACAGGGCGGCCTGGGTCCAAGGCCGGTTCCTGTTCAGGATGGGGGCAGCTCTCACAAAGGCTGAGCGGAGAGAGACAGAGCCCCAAGCAGGAGCTGGGAGGGGGTCCACGCTGGAAGGAGGCACCCGGGTCTGGCCAGTCTGGGGCCTGGCACGGGCAGTGCCCATAGGAGGGCGTTGAGTAAACAGAAAGAGACCAGCTCCCCTGGAGGCTGCCCCAGGCCACCTGCAGCCCCAGGACCTTTGGGGCCGCCCTCTGGATGGCGGGCTGGCCAACCCCAGCCTCCACCCTGCTTCTCTGCACAGCAGCAGGCCCCACAGGGTGGCCTTGGAGGAGCAGTGGTCATGGGGTCCACCTCCCACAGTCCTGGGACTCGCCCCGCGGCCTTGACCTTGGAGCCGCAGCCAGAGTGGGGGGCAGAAGTGCCTTGGTCCCACATCGCCCACACAGCCCCCCATCTCAGTGGCACCCCACAGCCCCAGGCTCCTACATCCTGGCTCCACTTCTGTCGGGCCTCAGCCTTCGGAAGGGTCTCTGCCATTCCGGAAAGCTCCATTCCCCCTTGTTCAGAGTGAGTTACAACTGACTCTCCCTCCTCATCCCTGCCCCGCCCACCTCCACCCTTACCCGGTGACGGTCAGCCAGACGGACAGCTAACTGCCCCAGCCCAGCCTCTCTGTTCTCACCTAGAGGCGAAGACTGCTGACCTTATTTGGAAGCAGGGTCTCTCCCAATGGAAACAAACTGAGAGGAACCCATACTGACTTCGGGTGGGCTCGCAGTCCAAGGACTGACATCCTCGGAAGACAGGGAACGGTCACAGACACACCGTTGGAGGGCCACGTGACCACCGCGGCAGAGACTGGGGAGAGGCAGGTGTGAGCCAGGACACGGCCACCACCAGGACCCGGGGCAGGGAGAGGCCTGGGACAGAAGGAACCAGCTGTGCCCACACCTGGGTCTCAGGCCCCCAGGCAGAGAACACTGAAGCCCCGCCCCCACAGTCTGCCACAACCTGTTACAGCAGCAACAGGAAACTAACGCGGGACCGGGTGCTCAGCCCCTGCCCTTGGGCCCGTGGCTGTGAGGTCCTTGTGTCCACGGGACAGGACTGGTCACAGGCCGTGGGGAGGTGGGCGGGAAGGCCGGGGAAGAGGGACAGAGAGCAGAGTAACAGAACAAAAGGAAGGGGGTGACCCGAGGCCACCCCTGCCCCACCGCTGTCTGTGGGAAAGGTGACCGGGGCTCGTCCAACAGCCATGGGGTCAAGGGCCCTTGAGCCCCGGGAGCGGCCCGAGGGCCCGGCCTGCCCTTTCCAGGTGAGCAAACACCCTCCTGCCTGCTGGGGCTTGGCCGCAGGGAGCCGTGGGAAACCCACGGCCACCCTGGGGACCGGGACCCCACCAACAAGGCAGGCCACTTCCCGGAAGCGTGAGTTCACGTGCCCGCTGCACACAGCAGCTCGGGAGAGCTTTGCAAAACATCACTTCGGCAGGACATGAAACCGCTTGCCTGGAGAGACACCGACCGCAGCAGTGGACGGCTCTTGGCAGAGCAAACGGTGTTCGGGCCCTTCCGCCGTAAATATTTATCCCTCTCCCGGGGCTACGTGCTGCTGCGCGCGGTCGCCCGGAGAACGGAGCCGGCCGGCCCATCTGCCACCTCCCCGCGCTCCCGCCCTTGGGAGTTAGAGACCCCTGCGACACAGCTGGTGGGCCTACTGCCCCGTCGCCCCCCTGCAGCCCACACGGGACACCCCATGCGGGCTCTGGCCACCGCCGGGGAGCTGGCTTAGGGCAGGGCCAGGGGCGACAGGGGGTGGGGGGTCGGGCGGGCCTGGAGGGAAGGGTTCTGGGAGGGCTCCGGGCTCCTCCAAGCACCCTTTCCCTCCCTCCTCCCCCTGCACAGGCCACACCCCCCCAAAGGGCAGGGGGCCTTTCCCGTGGGCTGGGGAGCCCCTCCCCCCGGCACAGCCTGAGCTGGCTGGTGGTTTGTCGGGGAGACCCTCCTGATGCGCCAGGAGCTGGCAGATGGGGAAAGGGGGCCAGGGGGCAGGGCCGGCCACCCAGACAAGCTTGGGCCCCTGTGCGTTCCTGAAGGATGAAGGGGACCGTGCCTGGCAGAGGCCACAGCCTCGACGGCCACTGGAGAAACGTCCGCACGAGGCATGTGGGCAACTGCCCCCAGATAGCACGTGGGGCTCGGCTGTGGCACCGCGGGAGGGGACACACCCACTACGGCGCAGCGGGCGCCCCACAGAAGGGAAGCGGTTAGCACAGGTCGCAGAAACCCTACAGGACACAGAGGTGGTAAGACAGCTCTCATCCACGTGGGGTGGAGGACCATGGGGGGAGCAGCCCACGTGGCTGCATTCCAGGCCAGGCACCCCCACCCCCCGCAGGCCAGGGACCCAAACTGCCCCAGCCCCATCACCTCAAGCTGGGCCAGGAGAGGATGCCAGGAACCCGTCCCGCACGTGGCCCCTCCTGAGCCTTCCCAGGAGACCCCCACACACAACACAGACCACTCCCCACTCCCTGGCAGGAAACGTGGCAGAGACCCATGGCCCCCGCCCCACGTGACCGGGCAGCAAGGCCCTCGCAGACAGTGGGACTTTCCTCCCAGGGCCCCAGACGCTCCGCCAGGAGACTGAAGGTGCCCGGATGCTCCCGCCCCTACCCAGGCCAGGCTGGGGACCAGCGACAGGGAAATCGGGGAACTGTCCGCCCTGGGGGCTCCCTCAGCGCACACGTACACCCCCCCCCCACGCTCCAGCCCTGGGACCACGGGGCCCCTGGCAGCTTCTAGAAACAGCACCTCTCCCCACGGGTCGTCGTGGGGACACGGCTGACGTGACCTCATTCCCGATCTGTGAATGCTGGTGGCCGCACACACGAGGAGGCCCGGAGGACCGCACAGAGCACACCTCTGGGGGCAGCAGGAGGGCAGACATCTTCCTTCTGCCCCCGGTTCCCAGCGTCGACGCCCCTGACCTTTGGGCAGGACCCTCCGTGGCTGAGGGGCCACCCTATGTCCCACGGCACGGGCAGCGGCATCCCTACCCCCACCCGCTGGCTATGGCGCCCACCCTCGGCGCACCTGGAACAAGGGACGCTGCCCTCAGAGACCACCAAGGGCCCGCGGAGGGAGCTGGCACCCCACACGGATGACGCCACGCAGGCGTCCCTCGAAGGCCACGCTGCGAAGCTGGACGCCACACCCCACGTGAGGGCCGCTCCCACCTTCCCTGCACCTAATGGGGGAGCTGCCCGAGCTGAGGCCCCCCCCACCATCCGGCTCTGCAGTCGGGCAGATTCCAGAGAGAGGAGAGGTATGCAAAGGCACTCCTTAATTTGATTTTGAAATAAAATCTTGAGCAAGAAAAGGTTTGGCACTGGCTCCCCTGGGGAATGAGGCCCAGGGCTCGGCCGAAGCAGCTCCCACAGGGCACTCAGCGGGCCGGGCACCCCACTCTTCCCCTCTCGTGTGGCCAGCCACTGCCCCCAGCACCCCGCCTCGGCCACGGGACCCCCGTCCTCCTCAGAGCACCCTCCCAGAGTCCCCTCCTCCCTGCAGGGCCCACTGAGCAGCAATGCTCCGTCTGTGAGCTGCCCTCCGGGGCGGGAAAAGCTTTGGCATCAGGCGCCGGGCAGCGGGAAGGGGTGTGGACGGCCCTGGGACCAGGAGAGCCCCCCCCCAACCCCGGCCGCCCGCTCGCACACCGGACCTGGGGCCCCAGCACATACCTCCGCTCGTGGCTGACGCACCACGCCTGCCGCCCGCAGCCCGGCTTCCACACGGGCACGGTTCGGCTGAAAGCCTGCACACAGGGCTGGGTTCGGCCCACCAGGGTCAGCTCCTGCTCGGCGCACACGTGCGGCCTGGGACAGAGGACAGATGGTCAGTAGGCCCCAGTCCAGGGCGTGGAGCCACCAGGGGTGGGGTGCACAGCAGGGCCAGGCCCCACGGTGCCCATCCCAGGCCTGCGGCAGGGCCAGGCTCGAGGTGTGGGAAGAGGACGAGGAGGGACGGCCACAGGGCCACATCCTGCAGACCCCCTGCAGGGGCCCCATACCACCCACAGGACTATTGTAGCTTTGCCCAGACAACAGGGGCCTGAGGGTCAGCGGGAGCAGTGACACGGACCCCGCGTCCGTGTGACTCCCTTCCTAGGCCCCCACCTCCCAGCCATCCTGGCCTCAGAGATGTCCCCTGAGCTGCCCCCGCTGGGCACACGGAGTTCGCTCCAGGTGGGACAAAGTGTGGAAGGCGGGGAGCCTCCAGGGAGCGTGGAAGGGGTGCAAGGCGGAGCCCTCTGATGTCAGTGGCTCCCCAGTGCCCTTGACCCCCCCGCCCCCAAATAAGGACAGGAGGGTGCCTCGCTCGGGAAGGAGGTGGTTATAGAGAAGGGGCCTGGGAGGTGGGGGGAGGGGCAGCTGCCCCAGCCAGACACAGGCAAATTTCAAATTTCGGGAGACAAGGCACAAAGTTTTCGAGGCCAGCCAGACTCCACAGCCTCTGAGGAAGGGGATGGGGGGTGGGCTCGCCTCTCCCGTGGACACCCTCAGGGTCACACAACCCTGTGGGCTCACTCCCACGGGCCACTCTCCCATCCCCTAGTCACCCGCGTGACTTCTCCCGAGGCCCGTGGGCCTGGGCTCCCCCTCCGGCTCTGCTGCTCCCTCCACAGCCCCCCAAAACAGTCCCCTCTCTGCTGGCTGCCCACTGGCCTCCCGGGGACGGGGGTGAGCGCGGCACCGGTCCCCTCGGGGGAGCTCCCAGCCCTTCAGAAGCACAGCCTGGGCCAACTTTTCCATCTTTGGGGCGGAGGAGGTGGGATGGGGGAGGGAACAGACAGAGAGACGAAGTGTCAGCCCAAGTCTCAGGACAGTCACAGGCCTGTCCTTGCAGTTGGCTCCTGGTTCCCATCTGGAGAGGCAAGGCAATCCCCAGACTACAAAGCAAGCAGTTCCGTGGGACATCTGCTCCCGGGCAGAGAGGGGCTCCTGGAGGCCGGCGCCTCAGCCCAGAGCCGAGGAGAAGGTGGGCGCGTGAGGCGTCCCTTTGGGGCAGGCGGTTCCAGGCCAGCAGGCCCCAGGATGATGGCCCCAGGGTGAGGAGACAGGAAGGGGAAAAGCAGGCGGGGAGGGAGAGGCAGGCAGCCCCGCCCAGCTGGCGAAGCCCGGGCTGCGTGCACACCCTTGTGCAGGAGGAGGGCTAGGCTCCCCAGAAGCGCCTCGGTCATGTCTGTCTTTACAAGCTCCCCTTTTGAACCCCAGGGTGGGCCTCTGAACACACGTCCCCCTGGACCAGGCGCAACCCTTGAACTTGGAAGCCTGCAGGCTCGGCCCTGGGCCGGTTGGAGCTCCAGTGTAGGGGACGCTGTCTCCCCATCCCCAGACCCCGCCAGCAGCCCTGGGCCAGCCCTGTGTGTAGTGAGCGGTCACTCCAGGCCCCAGGAAGATAAGCCAACCATTCTTCCAGCAGAAATGCACTTAGAGGCATAAATAAATAAATAATAAATAAATACATACATACATACATAAATAAATAAATAAAGACATGTTGTAGGGTTTTCAGTCTGGACGCGGTCGGCCAGCGGGAACCCAAGAACCAGCCACAAGCTCCCACACGTCCACAAAGGCCACCCTGGGCCACGGGTCAGTGGGACCCCTACTCCACGGCACCCCTCTTCTGTCTCCCCCAGAGGCCCACCAGGAAAACCAGTCACAGACAGTGGGGAGGCCTGTGCGGGGGCCCTACGGGCTCATCAGACCTCCCCCAGGGGAAGGGGGCAGGGGGCACAGGACCAGCGAGGACAAAGCACTTTCAGGGACCCCGGCTGTTCTCTTGGCCCCCTCCCCTGCTCCTCTGGGGCACAAGGAGCAAAAAGCAAATTCTGGCACCCAGAGCCCACCGGCTTCCAGCACTCCGGGGTCTAGCAGAAGGCTGTCCCCTGTTCAGCTGGCCAGCGGAGCTCAATGCTGCCTAGCACCAGGTGCCTCAGAGACAATCAGAGACAATGGGGCTGTGGAAGGTATACCCCGAGGTGTCACAGAACTCAGTCTGCCCAGGGCCATCTGAGAACAGAAGCCTAGCCAAGAAACAGGGACACAGGCCCCCATAGGGGAAGCCACCCCTGACATGTGGGAGGCTCCCTGAGGAGGAGGAAGGGGAGGAAGAGACAGGGCAGAGGAGGCTTTGGGAGAAGCAGGAAGCAGAAAGAGGTCTCCTGCGACCCACTGCTTGCCCCAGAGTGGCCAGAGGCTTCCCGGAGCCCTAGGTGACATGCCAACCAGGGTCAGGGGCCGCCCGCCGCTGTGATAATCCCTTCTGAGCCTGCAGCTTCCCTTGGACAAATGAACTCACTGGGATCACAGGAAAGAAAAATGTCCAGCAGAAGTCATGCAGAGTCGGGACTCAGGCCACTCACATTTCTGGATGCAAAGGCCACAAGGAAATCTTCCCGCCTGGGGCAAAGCAAGACCCAGGGTGGGGGATGGGGGTCCTGGGGCACCGACTTGCCCTGCCCCCCAGCTCTGCCCCACCAGGTGCACTGGGCCCTCTGGGCGAGTGCCGGGCAGGGGTCCCTAACCCGGGCCGGGCCACTGGCCTGCCCCTTTGCAGCACCCTGCAGGAGCCCTGGGCTGGGGGCCCCCAGCAGGCACCTCCCCTCCTCCCCCTCCTCTCTGGCTCACTTTGGCACCAGCGGTCCTGGGAGGCCAACACGGGATGGATCTGCCCGTTAAGAGAGACCGCTAAACGGCCCGTTGGGGAATCATCTTTCAAAACTGAATTCATCTCCGCTGGCTCCCGGACCCTCTCTTCCTGCCCATTCTGGTGCTGAATTCCTTCTGTCTCTCAGCCCCAGCACGCACGTGTTTAACACATAAACCACGTCCAGCCACCACCACTACCGCCCCCCCCCCCCTGCGTCTGGGCGCTCCCCGCCCCTGCACAGGCCCCCCAGGCCCCCGGAGGCAGCTTTGGAAGGAAATGAGAAGGGGCTGCTTCCTTCCTGCTCGCTAGCCAGACCCTGCCCACGAGGACCCCGACTGGAGCGCGGCGTCTGCCAGAGCGCGCGGTCGCACATGACGGAGTGGAGGGTCACCGACAGGGTAAGGGGAGGAGGAGGTGGCCCCGCCACGGAAGCGCCCCCAGACCCAAGCCCCGACCCCCGTGTCTTAACCGCTCCCTCCCCAGGGGCGGCAAAGAGCCCAACTTTGTCAGGGCCCCAGGGACAAAGCTGCTCAGGGGCCCGGGGCTCCGCTACTCACATGCCGGGCTGCAGGCGGGGCAGGGCGCCCGCCGGACCGGCGGGGAGCAGCAGCACCAGGGCCAGGGCCACCGCGCGCCCCGCCGCCGTCGCCTCCGGAAGGGCAGGCATCGCGCCCGCCGCCCCGCGCCGGCTCCCTCCTGCGACCCCCAGCTCACTGGACGTCCCGGCGGACCCTCGGAGCCGCCGCCCGCACGTGCGCCATGGCCGGGGACGCGCGGGACGCAGCCGCAGGTGCGGAGGGACCGGCTTCCCGCCT